TGTAAAAAAAATTGCATGGTTAATAAATCATAAATTATTATCCACTATATATCAAGGTGTATTTTTTTATTTTGGTGTAGAATATATTTTTCACAACTTTAATTCTTAAAATGCAAATAAAAAATTGCATAATAATAATTAATAAAAGTTATAAAAGAAATATAATCTTAATAAAAAAATTACAATAATATTTGTACACTATTTTATGGTAACAAAAAATACACACATTATATTAGTAACACGGTAATTCAAGTGGAGATACAAAATATCTTATCCTCCAAAATATCTTATCTTCTCATTAGTATATATAATTTTTGTTTAACTATCAATATTTTTAGTATGGTTATCAGACACAATTTTGAAAAAAAAAATTTACATTATACATAAACATAAATTATTATTTATTATGTATAAAGGTGATTTTTTATTTTGGTGTGCACAATATTTTTAATAAGTAATAAAAATTACACGATAATAATTCATAAAGGTAATAAAAATCACATATTATTACTAATGTGGTTATTTATGTGGAGATAGGAATGCATTTCTTTTCAATAGTAAAGAAACATTTATCTATACTAATATATAAAAGGAATACATCTGTTAGTAATCACCATAGTCTCCATATTTTGTTGACTATTATACTCTTTTATTTTAAATAATTAGATAAAATAATATTTTTATCAAACTCAAAACCTTAAAATTAATTAACTAATTGTAACATTAGATCAAAATATATTTATTACTTAAATTTTATTTTATTTTATCTTTAATAGAGCACGAAGTACCTCAACCTTACTAGTTCTTATAAATTTTTTGGTCTCCAAAATTTGTGAACCATAATAATTATTAAGAAAATAAAGAAAAATATTTTTTTAGTAATATTATGAATAACTGTCCACAATATTATATTTTTTCAAAAATACACAGAGTTTCTTTCTCCCTTGTAAATAAAAAAAAATGTAATAATGTTAATTTCTAAATATTAACGTTTTTTTTATATTTAAACAGTTAAAAAATAAGATTAATTTTTAATTATTTAAAACTTATTTAACCTTTTATTTTTCATTTGTCTACTTTCCTTTCAAAAAATTATTTAATAACGTGGGTATCTTTTTTTTTTTTCTCTTATCATTTTCTCTCTTCCCTTATTCTAATAAAAAACACAAAGTGTGAGGAGGACCTAACTGTATTTCATGCTAAGAAACTTCAAAAGTAAATATCTAGTCAGAGACTTGGGCTGCCCAATAACAATTGTCTCATATTTTGACACTTCTTTCTCATAGAAACTTGAAGGCTACTACATGACATCATGATTATGTCATCAAACTTGGTCACCAAGTTTTTCTCTTTTCAACTGATTGTTATGGAATTTTAACTAAATAAGACTAAAATTTTTCTTTTACTCCGTTCTCATCTCTTTTCTCTTTTGAACCAAATACATTACAAATTAATATTTTTTTATTTGTGGACATTTTAACAAAAAATAATTTAAAACTTATTTAATTATTAAACTATATTTTCATTCTAATCTTATTTAAATTTTCAGTTTAATCTTTCTTTTCTTTTCTCAATTTGTTTTAATTTGAGCATTTTTTTATCATCTGTGATATTTTTTTATTGCCAAGAAAGCAATCTAGTGGCAGTTTTTTTTAATCAGTTTAAACATAATTTAGTTGCGACTTAAAAATAATTTCTGGCAGTTTACTAATCAAATTTCTATGAAAATTTGTCACAGTTAACGAAATATTAAATTAAGAAAATACATAAATGGCTCAAAAGATAATAAAAAATCAAAAATTAAAATAACGGCTATAATAAATGGCATTGATTTTGCAAGAGACTTCTAAACTTGCGACCATAGGTACAGCTATACAATTTTTAGACTAGAAAAAAATATTTAAAAGATATTATCTTTTAAATAGTATCTTTTAAATAGTTTAAACAAAATGTATAATCTTAAAATTACTTTTATTATTTTTAGTCATTTATTAAATTCATTTTAATCCTTTATTTGTTGAAATATTCATTTTAATATTTTATTTTTTATATTTAAATCAATTTGAAACTTAAAAAAAAAAGATTAATTTTGTGAGACAATTTTAAATCAAATTTTGAATGATTCAAAACGTGAAACTTATACCATTATATTTAGTTATATAAAAGCTATGAAACTGAATTAATGTTCAAAAATTATAGTAAAAATCATGTAAAAAATATATCTAACAAGTAATTAAAAAATAACATAAAACTAATTTATGAAGTTTTCAAATGTTTTTTACACTTATGTTTATGCGATTGTCATTATGTTAAAAAAAATTTATAGTATAAATTTTAGTTGCATTCAATCATTTTTACAAGTAATCATCTTTAATTGGATTTACAAAATTCACATTTAATATAAAGTTATTAAGTAATGTAATACTTAATAAAAGTTACGTTGATGTTATTATAACCCTCATATACATATATGTATACCGGATATAGATAAGACCAGAGTACCATACCAAGATTATTGGATTTTAATGGGCTTGGTTGTGGGCCTAAATCCATTAAGGTTAGTATAAATAAGTGTAATCAGCAACTGATAAAGATACGTTTTCATAATTACCAATTTGATTAGCATTGATATGTCTGAGACCGAAGACTGACTTAAGCATTAGAGTGTCTTTTATAGGTACCTCTCTCTTTCCAGATATCATGAAAAACAAAGACCTAGCAATAATAGCAAAATTACCGGAGTACCCTCGTGTATATATATATATATATATAGCAAGTACTTAGCTATTATCCCTGAATTAAACTTTTGATGTATTTGTGAGCTTAATTACTGCCTCTTCATTTAAGTGGAAAAAATCTAAAATTACTAATTATTATCCTTTATTTTGATATGAATATATATGATATGATCCGGTATCCACTATGGTCTATGCACATGGTGAAGTGGGTATGAAGTATATATGAATATTAAATGAACCAAAAATGGTTAGGTTTGGAGATGACTGGACGAACGTTGCCAGCTTCATAACCGTATATAAAATTATAAATAATAATGGACTTGTGAAAATAATAAAAATTGAAGATGAATTAATTAAGACAGTGACAAGCAGCTGGTAGAAAAGGAATGAAGCAAAAACAGACACCCATGCCATATTGTTCAATTTTATTACCTACTATTCAATTCTCATTTGGGGAACTACATTTTACAAAAAATAAAAATTCATTTGAGTGTGTTTATTTCCATGTAAATAATGTGATTTTCCATATTTGATAAAATCTATATATAATTGTTTCTTCGTAGATGTGAAAAGAGATAATTGAATTCACGTTTCCAACGTAATCAGTTGTTACAATTATTTTTTAATCACTTTTAAATTAAACAAACTAGTTATTTTGAAAAGTTTCTTATAAAAATATTTGTTTTTAAGAAACAATTGTAAATATAGATAAATTAGTTTTTTTTCCAAATATAATAATAAAATTATTTTATGTTACAGTTACTTTTTTATATATGCAACAAACAACTCATAAATCATAAGACCGTTATTAAAAGCTATCAGTCAACTTTGTCAACGAAAAAAGGGGATATATTATTTATTTAGTAATTTTTAGACCTAGAGATCACCTGATTAATTTTGTTAAAGTAACAACATGAGACACGTATTTGTATTTCTTTCACATTGCTTACCCCACACTTTAATGACTCCTTCCACGTATATCTATTAAACACCACTTACTTTTACTATCTGTTTTTTTTTTTTTTTTTTTTTTTTTTTTTTTTTTTTTATTTTGGCACAGATCTATTTATTCTAAATTAAAGGATTAAAAAGTCAGAATTAAAACTGAAAAATAATTACCTTTTAAGAATACATTTTTTTTTGTACATTCTGGAATACAAATTAAACATTATTGCTATTTTTATAAACATTTTAAAAAATAATTTCAATTTAACATTTAAATTTATTTATATTACATGCACTAACATTCAAGAAAAAAAAATACCTACACTAATGGAATGTAGCTCAGTTAACTGGTCATGTGTGAATTGTTAAAAATTTCTTAGGACCGAATTGATTCCAACGGATAAGAAACAAATATATAACACACAAATTCCAAACCAACTATTTTCATATAAATTTGCAAACAAAGAACATATAGTAAGTATTTGGGGTTAGTAAATTATATAATATAATCTTATGCAATCGATGCTTGAAGTAAATGTATTTGTTGTGTAGATAGTTTCAAATACATATTAAACATATCGCTATGTTTTTTTTTTTATTCTTAAGAAGATCATCACTATGTTTAAAATCATGATTAAAAAGTAAATTAAATAGATTTCGTTTAGATTTGTATATAAAAACCCATAAAGAATGATTCTTAAATCAATTTAAATTTTATTTCACAAAACAAAGAAAATGTAATGAAATCTGTGTCATGACTCATGAGCACAATTAAAAAAAGAGAGAGAGAGAAGAGAATTAATAAATATAAAGAATAAAAAAATAGAATCTGAGTTACTGAAAAACGTGATGATATACAATAATTAAATATATTCTTTTCCTTTTATAAATATTATTATATAAAGCTTTGTTATCCATCCATACCTGCCATTATTATATAGATCTCTCTTATCCATTTTACACACAAAATATGTAAAAGCATGAAAAGAGAAAATGGAAAGAATGACAAAGGAAAAGAAATAGGAAACTTTTTCCCACATCTTCTTTTGCAAAACTTTCAAAATAAAAAGTAGAACAAACATGAAGCAATTGTTTTGTAAGTATCAAAAACATATCATTAAAAAATAATAATAAACACAAATGGTTGTCAAAAAAATGCTAATGCGATTTATTTAATAAAATAGTCATACTAATGTTAGAACTTGTAAACTTATTATTTATGTATGAATAACTAAATATCTAAAGAGTTTCGAGAAAAGTCTTTATGACAATCAAACACTATTTTAACATAAATGCATAAACATAAGTGTTTGTTGGTATTTTGAGATTGAATGAGAGATGTAAATGGTTGATGTTCTTCTAAGTGCTGTCCTGTGGAAATAATCTAGACACGTGCGTCCTACCAGCCAACTTCTTCTCCTTGCTTCGTTGTCAAACCAAATCCTCTTTCTCTATTCTTTCATATTTTAAACTTCATTTTCTGTTTACTGTTTCTTTCTTCATATTTATATTCATACAACTACTCCCTCTTTCTTTCTCAACCTTCAAAGCAATGGCATCCGATCCTGAGCAACCCACCCGTTCCTCTCTCGCACAGGTTCCATGCTTTTCTTTTTTCATTTTTCTTCTTCTTTGGCCTAGAATTGATCACCATCTACCCTGAATTTTAATTATATCTTGTGCTATGTGTCTACTTTGTCTGCTTTATTGGAAGAAAAAAAAATCTGTGTTCCGAGGGAAGGAAAATCTTGAAAGTCAGAAAGAATGAAAGGGAAGAAAGTTGGTTGCGAAGCAACCATGGGTTCAATGGGTGTCACAAAAATATGGACTTGTTCCAGTCAAAATGAGGTCAAAGAAAATAACACATTTGGGGTTTTGGCATTCATGCACACAAGATGACTAACACTGAATTGTACCTTTAATTTCGATTATTTTGTACACTGTACGATTTTTCAAGTCTTTGGACTTTGATTACTGCACGTGCATTGCAAAGCAGTTTTACAATTGTTTTCCATTGTTCTTTTTTGGCTGAATATTTTGTTGAGATTATCAAATTTTCAAATTTTCGTACTTTCTTGCATATCAAAAGTGTGTGTGGCTGTTTTTAATGAAATCAAACATTTATGTGCATTTAGCTCTTGATTATTTATTTGTTTGGCCTGTCTTGATTATTTATTTAAAAAAAAATTTAAACAAGAATAGGCTGAATGCTTGAAATCAGATACTGTGACACTAAAACATACAGGTTGTGTGTAATTAAACTAACTTGTTGCTATCTTATGCTGTCTATTTTCCCTTTCATGACGCTTGAAATACGTTGACTTTCTCTAGGAAGGAAGGTCATCCGGTGAGATTGGGAGTGCAAGGGAGCCTCTACTTAATAATGGGGTTCATGACCCTGAAAGCTATTCCATCTCTGCTGCAATTCTCCCGTGAGAGTTACCTTTTAATCCCTTCTATGTTAATTTTATGCATTGCTTAGGAAATATATCAATCAATCTTTATTGTATTTCAAAACATACAAATACAATTGAATAGATAGCTATGTAAACATCAGCTTTTAGCTTGGACTTGCACTAGTGAAGGACTAAATTTTCTGTAGACTGTAGGCAGTGTTGTATTTAAGACTATAATTTCTGCTATTGGTGTCCTGTTGATCATGTTTGCTTGGTGGAAAAATGTGTTAATCATGAAGGTTAGACTGAGGATGGCTGTTGCACATTGGATTGTGCTTGGAAACGGTTGATTACTGTTACTTTTTACATCATAGTTTCATGTCTCATCCCTTGTTAGATCTGTTTTGATTTGTGGAATCCTATGTCCTTTTGGAAATATTTAAGATTACCATATCTTGTTTGTTACTAGATTTCCATGAAATACTAATATTTTGTTTTTTTTTTAAACTGTTTTTGTGGTGGTGAGTATGAAGGTCTAGGCAGCATGACAATGAATTTGATCCCAAGGTTATACTTGATGTGAATTAGTTTCCTTCATTTAAAAAAAAAAATGATTCCCATGGAATTCAATATTCCCAGAAATCGTATTTGGGATTCTTGAATAGCACAAACAATATATAGCTTTTGAACAGTTATTTTTATAGAAATTAGTTGATGTCAACATACCACATGCTGCCTTGAGCTTTTAGTTAGCCTTATGTCTTGTCAAAATAATAAATTAGCTTGCATCACATGCTATGGGATTTTATTTTTAATATATCTTGTAAAAGTTTTGTCCTTCTTTTGGATTTCTTTATTTTCTTTCTGGCTTCTGCTTGACATTGATGAAACAACTTGACAACTTTAAATAAGAAAAATGGCATTATTTCATGTTCAATATGCCCCCTCTGATTTTCTGATAATGTCTTCAATTGATTGTGTGATACTTTTTCCTCCAAGTGGAAAAGAAGAAATATATGACAGCTATGCCTATTTTCTTACCTAAAATGCATTTTAAAAATCTCAGATTTCTCTTCCCAGCTTTGGGTGGCCTACTATATGGCTATGATATTGGAGCCACATCTTCTGCAACCGTTTCCATTGAGGTACACCCTTCTACAATAATTTAGGTATTGACTCAACATTTTTATGATATTCATATTCATTTGGTGGTGTAGCACCTGTAATAGTTTCCTGATCTTAAAAGTTCGAGATTTTTCTGCTGTATTATCATTAGTTACTTTTCTTTTGTTTGAAGTATAATCTCATGGTATAGTAGTTTTTTCATAGTATATTTGTAATGCTTTCCATATAATTCACTAGATACGGCTATGATGATTAGTTGTATAAATTATAATCCAGATATTGCACATAGGCTTCCTGCTTTTCATACTGTGTCATGATCTTTATTGCAACCAACATTTTTAGACATAAGTTTCTTTTTTTATACATTTCCACTTAGCTCTGGGTGAATTTTATTGAGGTGGCATGCTATCCTTAGATAATCCACTTATTTATTTTTGGAATTGTTAGATTTAGCACTTGTTAAACATGTAATTTTTGGTTGTCAACTGTTATTAAGACTGATTAGCAAATTAACAGCTCTAATTGAAGTATGCAATTAACCTGCAATTACTCCCTTGATGTTTGTAAACTCTACGTGTCAAGTTTTATGTGTGTCAATTTATATGTAGTTCCAAAAACTTGAACTGGTAGTTAACTGGCTGATTGTAGATTTATGCATTATTTCTCTTAACATTTCAAAGTTCTATTACTGTACCATATGTGGTAGGGTTCCATCCACTCTTGCTCTGATTCCTGTTATGAAGTATAAGTATCTCACAATCATTAAGTAATTGATCAAGATAAAATCTTAAGCACTACTTTTTCTGTACATTATACTTTGGATATACAATAGGTTTTCTACCTATCAAGGAATCTTTTGCTATATACTTATATCTCATGAATTATTTTTTCAGTATAGTCTGTCATTTGTCACAGACCAGAAAACTGCTGACAGAAACAAGTCTCTGTTTAGTAGATTCCTTGTTACCATTGCTATTCATATGGGTCACTGTCTTCTAGTGTGTAATAGATCAGAGAGGAAGATTACTACATAAAACTTAAAGCTATTCATTTTTATTAGAAAAAGATTCAAAGGATTTTATTTTCCCAACTGAAAAGATAAGGCATACGAATTTCAGTCTCCCCATGAGTTAGTTCTATCTAAGAATGGAGCTTTTAGGAAGTGTTCTTGCTGTAGATAATAACAGTGTAGGCCTTTTCATTGTATAACTCAACTGAGTTATGGTATGATTGTCTTTTCATTTATTAAAATAAAAATTATATATTCGTAATACTAGTATAATATACAAAAATATAGATTCTTGTTCTGATGCCTATTTTTTGCTACTCTGAGTGAACTTACTCTCACAGTGTTGTTTGGAAGCTGATATTCAGTTGTATATTTCAATGGGCTTTTGCAGTCTCCAACACTAAGTGGAGTATCTTGGTACAACTTGTCTTCCGTTGAAATTGGTCTTCTTGTAAGTAAATTAAATTTTTGGTTGTTTTTGCTTTGGTCATGGCTACACTGTCTTATTTTCAGGCTTGATATTTGACACATATGTTTACTTTTGAAATTATATATTGGTCTTGAATATAAGCTGGGGCACTGGCACTTGCTGTCTTTTGCAGACTAGTGGATCATTGTATGGTGCTTTAATTGGCTCTGTGTTGGCCTTCAACATTGCTGACTTCTTAGGTAATTTCCCCTTTGGTTATTTATCATCTTTGCTATTTCCTTCCCTGGTGAAACTGATGTGACAAACTTAATTTTTAGGTAGAAGAAGGGAGCTGATTGTTACTGCATTACTGTATCTTGTTGGAGCACTTGTAACAGCATTTGCTCCTAATTTTCCTGTATTGGTTCTTGGGAGACTTTTATTTGGCATAGGAATTGGACTGGTATGCTCTTTTTCTCCCAAATATTACATCTAAGCTTGTATATGTTAATTTCTAATTGTTTGAGGTAAAAAACCATGTAGACAATTGAAAATGTGGGATTTCAGTCTATTGTCTTAAAGAAATTAATGATTTGTGGGCATGCACTCAGCAGCTCAATATTAGAACTACTATGACCAAGTGCTTAGGAGTTTAATGCTTCCCTTTATTTTTTGTAATTGAGTTCAAACACAAGGAGAGTTGGGCCTCTACCTCAGGCATGCTTCAACCCAAAGGGGCCAGACGCAGGAGGAGGTGGGACATGGGTATGCCATGGTACCCCTCATGTACTTCTTATTTAATTGATGACACCTGCAAAATTAATTAAATTTTCTCATAACCTCTTTAGTTAATGGGTAGTTTTTGCTCAAATGAAATAATTTTACTATTCAGACAAGATTTACCTATACATAATAAAGGAAAAGAAGTTAAAATCAAGCAAAAGGAAAAGAAATTTGAAAAATCCTTTCATATTATATATGTTTGCCCCCTTTGACACTAATGTGAAGAAAAGAGAAAACTTGTTGAAATGTTTGCAACGGAATAAAACTTCCACAGACTTCTTGAAATGTATGGAACAGAATAAAACTTTCACAAAAGGAAAATAAAAAAAAATGGGTTCTTCCCTTATTCTGCATGTAAAAGGATTTGTTAGGTAAAGAATCTGTGCAGTGATAAGATTTAAATAACGTGTTGTATGTTTTGTATATAACTTGTTAACTTTTAAGCAAGATACATGATGTTAATCTTATCTCTTTTAGGCTATGCATGCTGCTCCGATGTACATTGCAGAGACAGCTCCAACGCCAATACGTGGACAACTAATCTCTCTAAAAGAGTTCTTTATAGTACTTGGGATTGTTGTAAGTGCTTCAGTTCTTGAGCTTTTGGGAAGTCATTAAATTTTCTCATGTGTTCTATAAATGCAAGAAATGAATAAACTTTTTGAATTTTTCCTTCCATTATTGTATAACCTCCTCAGAAATAATATTTTATCAAATTCATTCAATTACGAATCTCCTGGTATTACTAAAAAAATGACTATATGTCATTATCATCTATGCAGGCAGGATATGGTATTGGTAGCTTGTTTGTAGACACTGTAGCTGGGTGGCGGTATATGTTTGGAGTTAGTAGTCCTGTTGCAATAATCATGGGAATTGGAATGTGCTGGCTCCCACCTTCTCCTAGATGGCTACTTTTACGTGCTATACAGAGAAAAGGGGATGTTCAGAATTTGAAAGACACAGCAATTCGTAGTTTGTGCCAGCTTCGAGGTCAGGCTATTCATGGTTCAGCTCCTCAGCTAGTAGATGAGATTCTGGCAGAACTTTCTTATGTAGGTGAAGAAAAAGAAGCTACCTTTGGAGAAATGTTCCAAGGAAAATGCTTGAAAGCCCTTTGGATTGGTGCAGGATTGGTCTTGTTTCAGCAGGTATTGCAAACACTCAAATAAAATGGTAAAAATTATCAGAGTTGCCAACATCCTATATTAATAAGGCTGCAAATTATGGCAGATCACAGGGCAACCAAGTGTGCTCTACTATGCTGCATCAATCCTTCAGGTAATATGTTAATTTTAGTCAAGGGAAATTATTGCAAATTCATATAATCTATTATGTGGTACCAGTGAAGTGAAATAACATTGTAATCTAATCCCTTCTGTAGAGTGCAGGATTCTCCGGAGCATCTGATGCAACCCGGGTCTCTATTATCCTTGGGTTTTTTAAGGTAGATCTTATTTCCTCCACATTCTTAGTAATTGTTAATCTGTTTTTAAAATGTAGTAGTTTTTTTGTCTGTTTCATTAGTTATGTGTAGGTTGAGGTTTTCTACTACATACAAATTTGAATTAATGGATTATCCATATGAAGTAGTTGTTCAATATTATCCAACTCTTTCTGTGGTTCTTATAAGGTGCAATGAGCCAAGTGTATAAACAAGCTGTATGTGCAAATTATATGCATGTGTTGTGTAGTGTGCCTTGATAAATTCTTTTATCAAAATAAAGAAGAAAATTCCTTTTTTCTTTGGCAACTTTTAATAGATTAGAATATTAGATATTTGTTGACACTAATTTTAGACATTTGTTGACATTACTACCTTCTGTATTTTCATTTTTAATTGGTTTCACTTTTTCAAATGAAGAGTCGTGTTTGTGAGTCCATTATGTCTATGCAAATGTTCTTAATACATGCCATTAATTCTGAAACAACTCTTGGTAAGAACAAATTTATTTCCTTTTCCCATCTATATAATGTTATGCTTCACATTTTAAGCAAGAGAAAAGGAAAAAAGTAAAGAATTTGTGATACCATTAGCTCTGAATCATATATTTTTCCATTGTCCTTGTCTTCCCCCTCCCCAGTCCCCCTTTCTCTTATCTTCTTCTTCTGCCAAATATATAACCGTCTCTTTCTGTTCTAGTTGATTATGACTGGAGTTGCTGTTGTCGTTGTTGATAGACTTGGTAGGAGACCTTTACTACTTGGGGGAGTTTCAGGGATGGTAAGTTCCTTCTTATTTCTTTGATTCTGAAGGAAGGTTTTGGAAGAAATTTTCTGTCAAAATGAGAGGACCAAGCCAGTCTTCTAATTAGTCCTTCATGGATGGTCAGCTTCAGCTTAGCTAATTATAAAAGAGGAATGTTTGTGACATGGAAATTTCAGTGGTGGAAAATTGTTAAAAATTTAAAAACTTGTCTTTATTTGTATCACAGGTGATCTCTTTGTTCCTTCTGGGTTCATATTACATTTTCTTGGATAACGCAGCAGTTGTTGCGGTAGTTGGTCTGCTGTTGTACGTAGGTTGTTATCAGGTGAATATGCTTCTTTTTTTATATCATTCTCTAGATCATATATCATGTCTTTTTCATAATGCTTATCTATCATGCTTGTACCATGCAGTGTGATTTTAATGGTTCTCCATTGTCTTTTGTCAGATTTCCTTTGGTCCAATTGGTTGGCTAATGATAGCAGAGATTTTCCCCTTGCGCCTAAGAGGTCGAGGACTAAGTTTAGCTGTACTCGTCAATTTTGGTGCAAATGCCCTGGTGACATTTGCTTTTTCCCCACTGAAGGTGATGAAGATCTTATTATCTCAAACGAGAGACCCTAAACTCACCATATGTTTTAGATATGTCAGCATGATCATCAGTCAGATGGTTGCCATATTTCACAAAATCCTGATATCACATCATACATAAGCATGTGATTTAAATTGCATTGGCCTTGAATTGGTGTTGAATTGAATGCATTGAAGATTTTCTCTTTCTTTTCCCCACTTTCTATTTGGTTAACTAGGCTTTGCAATGAAAAGAATTTTGATTTCCCATTATTTCAGGGAATCCATTGGCTTCATTAAAATTGCTTGTCTTACACTGTTTTGATTTTCTTCACAGGAATTACTGGGAGCAGGAATTTTGTTTTACATATTTTTTGTAATAGCCGTGGCAGCTCTTGCATTCATATACTTCGTTATACCAGAAACAAAGGGGCTTACACTAGAGGAGATCGAGGCCAAATGCCTCTAATCAGTCACCTTGTTACACCTCTATAAATATCCATTTTTAGTACTCTGCTGCAACTTTTCTTCAATCCACTGCATCTGTAATGACACGTATTTTATGTATAAACAATATGTAATAATTAATTAATTAAGGTTTATTTCTCTTTTGTTGTCTGTTTATTTATCTTCAACCCACATCTTTTTTATCTTCATCTCTTTAATCCTTCTCTCTTCCTTCCCCTCTATCCTTAAAGACTAACTTTTAAGGGGAGAGCTAAATGTATATATACTTGAATAACCAATACACTTATTTTGGGTCAATATACTTGAATTTTGCTTTTAGTTAAATCTGCCCCTCATTCGGAAGGATGATAACCGATAAGACTCAATTCATATTAACTTTATAATAAAATAAATACTCTTCATATGTCAAAGATACAGACAGTACTTAATTTTAGTTTTATTTAATTTTTTAAGAAAGGTGAAGACTCTACTTTATTTTAATTTTTCGAAAAAGGATTTCCAGCTTCATCTTGCACCTCTTTAGTTAGTAATTATAGTAATCATTAAACACTTCTATTAAGCATACTTTTGACTCTGAATAATGGATTCTAATAAGTAAAAGGTTTTAATTGTAAATTATGGTCAAGTTGTTTGAAAAATCACACTAAGAATGCATCGATAAATATTTAAAAATAAATAACTTTTTATCTTTTAACTAATGTCTCAAGAACATTTGATAGCATTCTCCAATAATCTTAAACAATTATTATAAAATATGTATTCAATGATATACTTGAGAACTCGTGGTGTACAGGTGTGTTTAGTCAATCGACAAAAAAAATACTTTCATAGTTTTTTCTCGAAAGGCATGTTATAGATTTTCAAGGACAACCAAACACGTCCTTGGCATATGAGAAATTTTTAAATGATTCAAGTCCGGACTGATCTCTAGGCGACATAATCAAATGTTACTAATCTTTTTGTGTAAATTAAGATATTTAAGAAATTCGCCAAGACTAAGAAAAGTTAACACAAAGCATGAAAATACCTAATAATTTCTTCATAGCATATACAAAAGGTAAAAAACCATTCCCATTCATCATCATACACCATTGAGGATTGCGTGGAATAAAATGTTGACGGCCTTCTTCCAAAAAATGAAAAACTGAGCAGCAAATGATTATTAAGAGGGGATCTCTGGGCTAACGTGAGGTGAGCATTGATGGAAGTAAGTATACACATGCTAATGTCATCAAAATAAGTGGAATGTTATGGTTAATGTATTAAGGAACATGAATCAATCCACTAAGGCACTAATGTAGGAATGAGAAAAAATTCCTGGCTAATATTTAAATATTTCGAGTGTGTTTAGTTGAATTCAACGGGAGTTAAAGAAAGTTACAAGTCATAAATTTTTTCCTTTTTTAAAAAAAATAATTTTAAATTAATATTCAAACGTAGAAAATGAAAGCTTTACACAATGGGACGGGACGATGTGATGTGAAAACCGGACTTTCTCAGAAACTTCCTATCCTATCTACACGTCATTTTGAACCTTGTTTATAGTATGTATATTCACCTTCTCAGAGGCACAGAAGTTGGTCAGTGAATAATAAAAGGTTAAAACATTGTGAAGTAACGTAAACCAGCCTGGCCACTTATTCTTGTTATTTATTCCATAATCAATTTTAATTAAGCATGTATATTTGCAAATTTTACAGCTCTCCACGTTCATATGTGGACGGACAATCATAGGACAACAAAGGTCAGACAGTATGATATGAGCCAATAGATGACCGTTTAGTGAAAATGATTGCCACTGTCACTTCAGCTCTCCAAGAAGTTAGCAAAATTTTGGTATAATCACCATCAATCTTCAAAGAAATTTTATGAAAATCAAGATAATCATAAAGGTTCTTATTAAGTGTCATAATCTGAATTATTACACGGCAATGCATGAATTAATTAAAAACATACACAGGAGACAGTGCAAACCCCAGATATTAATTATGCTGTCCAACAGAGTGCAACTAGAACACACCTCAACCATAAATTAAGATAAACGAATGGTTCAAGAAATTGATCCAATACTACTTAAATACAGTACCATTGACATACAAGTTATTTTGATATTCCCTCCAATGGGCCACAACAACTTAGTGGGTCCGGATGCTGTTATGGCATTTAACACCAAGAAAAATAAAAATAATAATAATAAAGTCCACCAGCTCCCTCCATAATTTCACCGAATCACTGGAACAGAGATTTTACTGTGCTGACAAAAGCCACAATTGCCATACTTTTACAACCCTGAATGGCATTAGAGATTTAAATGTTTCTAAACGTCATTATCATTTAAGAGAACTGTCATGTTGGTGTAAAGTTAAGCTTAACGAAAAGAGGTAATGAAAATGCAAATATTTTGTTGAAGCAAACTACTACTAGTACGCAGCAGTTGCAACGGTCAAAATTTAAGATACAACCGTGTCAAAAACCTGCGCTATTTTATAATTGCATGCGATTGGCTTTATATCTTACATCTAATGCCAAGTGATTATAATAGCAACGATTAACATTTAAATCAGAGATTTAAGCCACGAAGTAGAACTGCAAACTAAAAACCAATTTTTAGGGTTTGGTGCCTTCCTAAAACCTGAAAGAACAGTCATATTACAGCTCAGAACCGGCATTAAAGTGTATAAATGAAAAAGTGTTTCTATCTTAGGCTTAAAGTAAATTAAAATCACGTTATATTTTATTTTAAATAACTCTGAATACTTTATCTTGTACACTTCAAAAGTTTTTTCTTTTAGAAGAGCTATTTTCCTTTTTCATTTGCAAGATGTTCCTGTGACCTGGAAACCATAAACAACGGGGCCATAGTAATCCAAACCTGAAGCTGTCTGAAATAAATCGTCCTCTTCTCAAATTACTTGTAACAAATCAATTAATCCCAATGTACGATCCCGGTTCAAATGAATTTTTTCCTTGTTTTAATTTCACAATTCCAAGTATTCCAATCTTGGCAAAACTTTCTTAGATAGCTATATGCGGTAACAATGTTTTTTCTATATAAAAAAATAAATATAAAATAAATAAGCAATGAAGCATGTGGGATGACAGTTTTCTGTTATAGAAACACTTGGGTTTCATTTTCTGGCTAGTGGGGCATGGCGTTCTAGATGAGGGAAGGGTACTGAATGAGTGTGAGTTATGAAGCACCATATAAAGTGGGGAATAGGACACATACCCTCACAAAGTGTAGTCTACGTTTATGGGGCCCTTTGCCAAATCAAGTTCAATAAGAGAACGTCTTATTCACAAGTCACGACCTTGACTTGTCGCAATCACTTAAGTCCAGAAACAGCAGTGGCAGTCTCCCTTGTCACGCTCTCGACTCATAAAGAGGCTGATTCATCTTCCCCGTCTCTGCTGTGCCAGGAAGACAAGGAGCTTGATTGCAGCACGAAAGAGACAGACAACAAAGCCACTCATATGGCCCATAGATTTGAGAAAGATCAAGAACCACTAGCCAGAAAGCTATGCTGGCTAAACTTTCATAAAAAACACAAAAAGAAACAAGCTTTACTCAAATCATATGGTGTGAACAAAAATAATGGCTTCCCCAAGCCAGGAAATGCTTCTCCCCACGAAATAGTAATTTGGACAGTAGTAAAGTAACACATTTTATTCACACTTGACTGTGCATGAATAATAGGTTGGCAGAGTAAAGAGTGTGTGTCATCAATCAGTCACCACACACCAATTTCCATGCAACAGCTCACCCAAGTTTCCCCTCAACAGTCAGTCAGTCACACACGCGAATGGTTAAAAAGAATCTTTCATCAAGTAAATACAGACATTTCCTCGACCAGCAAGCAATAAACTATCCACAAATTCAAAGTTGGGGAACAAATTACATCGGACGAAAATGAATCCATTTTGCATAGACAATGTAAATTAAACAACCAACCAAGAGTGCCGAAAGAAAGTAAAGAAAAATATTAACACTACCGGTCTAGACTCGAGAGTCAAAGAGTAAAGATAAAAATCCTTTGATATTCTTCAGACCAATTTAAATCCATACAACAAAATCCAATTTACAGAGTCACAATGACTAGAAGCAATGAGAAAGAAAGCTTTTTCCATCCCATTTGTCCCTATATTTCCATTCCCTGATCACAGTTTGTTTGCCTAGTCAAGTCTTGAACCTAATAACACCCTTGCCCCATCAAAACACTAGTAAAAAAGAAAAACCAATTGAAAACAAAAGGATGTAAGAAAGAAAGGGGGTGTGGAACTAGTATGACCCAAGTGCTAAAAGTGGCAACTCTCCCCAAAACCTCAATTGTTGCAGTGCCAATTCAGCTAGCAAAGCATGATCGATCACCCATTGCATATAGACAAATAATTAATAATTAGTTGTTCCACACCAGAGAAAAAAGAACCAGGTGGAAACCCTTTCCAATTCTAATTGAGACCAACAAGAAGAAGAAGAAGAAGGAGAAGAACCCATTAACGCCATGAAGAAACAGTTAACAGAGGCACATCTTTCCAAGCCAGAGACAAAAACCCAGGTGTGGACTCCACGAGTGAAAACAGAGAACTATAGCTATAATTCCAGAGAAGTATCCTGGCTTGACTAATTGCATAATGGCTGAGACTGACTGATTCAAAACCAGCACTTTCCATGAGAACCCTCCACTGCTCCTTCTCCTCCATCCTCTCCCTCACGGGCCCAGGCCCAATAACCGCATTGATTCGCCGTCCGAGAAGAAGACTCTCCACCTGGAACCTCTCCGGCGAGTCCGCCGGCAAGTTGGGCTCGAGAGACTCAAACACGGCGGAGAAGTACCTAAACGCGGTCTTGAAGCGGTTCACGAAGCCCACACGTGTCAAGGAAGCTTCGTACTCACCAAGCGTGACAATCTTAGGGTTGAGCGACTTGGCCAACCTAAGCGCAGTGTCGACGGCGGAGGGAGGCTCGTCGAGGAGGTTGTAGAGCTGAAGCATGAAGTTAACGGCCAAGGCCTCGTTTGGGTGAATGTTGAAGCTGGCGTGGTTGAGTTGGTGAATGGGAGTGAGAATGGGCGCGAACTCAAAGTTCAACTCGAGGAGTTTCGCGAACTCGGAGAGACGGTAGCCGGTTGCGGAGAGAGAAGGGCCGGGGTGGGGCCCAAGGGCGATGGCGGGTATTCCGGAGATTTTGATCTTGTTGGGCTTGCCGGAGGCCCGAGTGGCGAAGGCCTGCAAGAGCGCGGCCCATTGGATCCCCTGCACGATGCCGAAGTCGACTATGTGGATGTTGGAGGCGCCTTCGGTGGCTTCCAGGATGGCTTGGTTGGCGGTTAAGTGAGCGAATTTGGAGTAAGGGCAAGCGTCGTTGAGGGCTTTGTAAGAGAGAGTTAGCTCCTCCGAAGTGGTTGGGTTTTCTGCTGTGGGCTTGTTCTCTTTTTGGGCCCATATCTTGCGGGTGAGGGCCTGGCAGAAGTAGAAGGCCACTCGCTGCGTGGGGGTTCCATGTTGGGATGCGGATTTGCGGATGCGGGTTAGGGCTTCGAGGGCTTGATCCGGTTGGGTTTCGGCGAGGGAGGCGCAGTTGAGGAGGGGGTGTGCGGCGTCGGAGGCGGTGGTGGAGTGGAGAGGGTGGTCCTGCGGTGGGGGAGGGGGCGGGGGCGG